GTCGGAAATTCACTTCCGGTAATGCATTTCTATCGGAAAAAGCGAGTGCATTTTCTCTCTGCGCTAGATTAGAAGAGGAAATATCACAAATAATTTGTACGTTCTGGGCACATTGGATCATTTCTCAGTCGCGCAGACGAAATAACTAGTCAGTTACGGCGTTTTTATGAGAAATTCGAGGTATGCGTGCAGAGACGGCAACAACTACGCAGTAACACTGGATAAGTAACTCCTTTTGCATGCAGGCGATAAAAATTAATTGAAAGCCACGTAATATAGTTCGATTCGCAGTAAATGAGTACCGCTTCTTTTTGCTCATGAATGTGTGCGAAGATGCTTGTTCTTGGTTCAAATCATCACCCGCACGCTCCAAATCTTTGCAAATAGTGAGAAGTCAAAGATCAGCTCCCCGATAAAAACGGCCCGACATAAACAATAATAAAGGACACACCTTTCGTCGACCAGGTACTTTATTTTTTTATTCGAACGTTTTAACTGATCGAAAAGATGCACGACGGAGTCATTTTCATAGAGTGACAGGACGGGCGTATTAACAATATATAGGTGCAACCTGAATGCTACCGAACCTTGAATACCCTCTACTATCCTTTCGATCGTTAGTTTGCTTCGAATTGCCGCTTGTTTTTACATACCTGCCATGGAACAGATATTTGGGCCTGAAATATAGCGAAGTTTAACATAGTTCAGTGGTAAAGCAAAATGCTGTAATTGAAGCAATTATACTTTTACAATATTATTAAAGATACATACGCTCCGTTACAAACGAAATAATCAGAGACATTCATGTTATTTTTTCGGTGAAGAGATAAAATGCACGCGCATTTTCCCATAGGAATGCACAGGAGCACCGCAAAAGTAGACTGGTTGCTGTCTCCTTCAATTTGCCTCCCGGAAATCGCATAGACACTAGCGCCAGTTGAACCTATAGCGTACATTATAATAATACTACGGATTCGACATCAGTTTACTGTACGTCGAACGCCGAACTGGAGTTTTGGGATGTATCATTTGGGACAAGTGTATTAAGCAGTAGAACCTATATTCCTGAGAGTGCATATAAAATATATGGGTGATTTCATCTCAACTGAGGCACGAATTTCGGGTCGAAGTTCTAATTTTCGTAAAAAAATGCGTTTTCGGGTAGTTCCTATAATAAGAGGACGTAAACGGCGAGTTCGTCGGATTTTTTGTTCTCAAGTTATGGACCGTTGAAGCGGCCAAGGTGGAAACTGACGTATTTCCAGCTTATCGGGGGTGTCATATTTCACTCCATTCTTTTTTTCTACTTTTTACGCTACATTAATATCACTTTTTGGGAACATTCTCGAGATATGCTTTTTATGCTAATTAAGCATCTAACTCATAAGATCTTTAATGTTTTTTGCTAATTGTCCAACCGCCTCTCTGCGGCGATATTTTTGACGAAGTTCAGCAAACTGTGCTGCGTGAGCTAATCAACATACATAGTACTAGACCAGATATTACGTATCTTCTCCGTCAATACATACGCCGAAGCTCAAACACCTTGTAAATCACCCCAGTGCCAAGTAAATAAATATTGTTAGGAAAAATATTGTTGCTTCACTGGTTTTTACGCTCAGATATTGAGGCAAATACTAACATTAAATAGAAAACCTTACATACGTCAGAATTCTGCTCAGCTGAGCGTCTACGCGAAGTCCCATTCAAAACTCTCATAGCATGAGACTCGAGTCCTAATAGCTGTCATACCAACAATATATTACGTTTTTTGTAGGTAGTTCCTGACAGACCACTATATTATCTAGCTGTGAATAAAAAACGAGAAAAACAAAGGCTGTTTTTTGTTTTTTTTTAGGAAATCGACTTCAGATTTGCAAGTTTTTCTAAATACTCGTTTTTCAGGTAAATGTTCCGCGTTATATGTTTAGCGAAAAATATTCAATTTATACTGAAAAGAAAGGACTTAATTGGAGCTTTACGGTGATGTAAAGATCATAAAAATATATTGAATAGGTCACACAGCACAGCTTGCTCAACTTCGTCAAATATTGTTGCAGAGATGCGGTTTGAGAATTAAAAAACAAACATTTACGATAATTTGACCTAGGCGCTTTATTAGCATAACTCGCCGTTTGCATCTTCTTTTATTTAAGGAGTTTACAGGTAGCTACTAAAAATTTCAGACCAGTTAATTATGGTTAGTGTATGTTTTTAAGTTACTTGTATTACTGGGCGGCAAATGAACAAAAGCAAAATGTGAGCTTTTATAGCCGCCATACAAACAAAATATTACATTTTATTTTTCTTTTGCTTTATAAAGTACTCCAATAGGTAGTTAGAGAAAAACAATCAGCCAAATAAAAGGCAGGAATTTCAGAAAATCGACCTCCAATCCGCAAAATTATTAAAATAGGCCTTGATTTACGAGAAAATACTACCCTTTCTCTTTTACGCACAACATCAAATTTGTTATCATTAGACGGAGTATACTCTAAGCTTTCTGAAAATACTAAATATGTTAAGAGACCTTATATAGGTAACACGGAAGAGCTAGCAAACTTTGACGAATATCGTCCAAAAACGTCATATTGGAAAATTTTCTCAAATATACTGCATATAAATTATTGTGTTAAAATTATTTATCAGACAATAACTGTGTTCACAGGTATCTATAAAAAAAGAGGCGCCAAATTTGAATTCGTGTATTTTTGCGAGTAAGTTGATTTACTGACAAAACAATCAAACAAAATCAGACGTCAAGCTTTATAGCTGCCATCCAAACAAAATATTACATTTTCTATTTATATAACCTTATAAAGCGCTGCAATAGCTAGCTAGAGAGAAAAACTCAACGAAGGAAAAGGCGTTATTTTTTAGAAAACCGACCTCCTATTTGCAAATATTTTGAAATAGTCCTTGCTTTACGAAAAAAACAGTGCCCTTCCTCTTTTACACACAACATTAAAATTGACATCAATAGAAAGCGTATACTTTTAGCTTTCTGAACATACTAAATATGTTAAGATATCTCAAATAGGTCACTTGAAAGAGCTGGTCAAACTTTGACAAATCTGTCAAAGGGACCCACTTTGACAATATTTAAAACAAAAGTGAAGATAAATAATCACAATAAAATATTGACCACAAATAACTGCTATTCTTAGAGTGGCCAAGAAAAGTTACATTGCACACCAAAAAAAGGCAAAAAGTTGAAAGGAGTGAAACACGGCCCCTCCGGGAGGCGAGAAAAATGTCATTTTGCGCCTTCGTGCTGCTTAAAATGTCCATACCTGGAGGAAAAAAAATCACCCGAACTTGCGGTTTGCTCTACCTGTCACAGAAGGGTTTTCCCCAAAACATTTTTTTTCGTCAAAATTCGCCCCCAAATCCGTGCCTGAGTTGAGATAAAACCACCCATTTATATTTTAATGTGCATTTAATGTGTATTAATTATGTAATTTTTATATCTGTATTCTAATAAATGTCATTTGAAAATTACGTCCTGTCCCGTGTGCCTTTCATCTTTTTGTCCTCGGTTTTTATGCGTAATCCACAGTAGGAATCATCACCAACTAGCCCAACTCGCAGTCCTCTCTATAGGCTCAAGTTACTTTTGCAACACCTTTGCCAAGTTCGACGTTTCTCTGGCTTGTTACCTGAGTGTACATTACCGCCGCAGGAGAAAGAGAGAGCGATCGTTTGACTAGGGATACGGAAGCAACGGGGGCTCCTTTCGCCATCGAATAGAAAAGGGCGTACAGATTTCATCACATTTCTGACCACGTTTTTTTTTTCCATTTACCTAGGATGACTCCGGCGGTGCAGCCATGCAGCATGGAAAGGGCCGGACAGTGCAGGTTGGAATAGTATCATTCGGTGATGGCTGCGCAAGATATCACGGGTTTTACACCCGAGTGTCCAGCTACATAAATTGGATTGAACAGTTCGTAGGCTACCTACAGTATCCTGACGTCTAGAAAATACTTCTTGAATAAAGGATAAATTCTCGGGTTACTTCCACGTTTCTTCGAATAGACCGATCTCACTACGCGTTCTACGCACGCGTGCCGCCGCCATAACTGTAGCTCACAGGGGATTGGCGCCATTGCACGAGATGGCTCGTGCCGTTTCGCGCTCGACTCGCTCAGAGCTCCAGCGGGGTTGTCGCTACAATTTTCATGATGCATGCCGGCGTCGGCGGCATAACGAAACTAACTGGTGAGATCGGTCCATGAAAACCGGTTCGACATTCGTGAGTTTTAGTACACTGTACGCTCCAGAAAGTGGGCCCAGTAGGCATTGTAGGGATGGCCGAAGGGGCTTAGCCGAAGGAGCTCGGGGAATTGGCGGCGCGGTCACCCGAAGCGTCCTTCGGAGGCGCCCGGATGTCTTGTCTTTCCCTTTGGCGGCAAGCGGAGGCCAGCTCCCGAAAGTGGAAGCAGATTTCCCCGCGTGGGAAGTAAACAAACCTCTGTTCGCGGGTGGTCGCCCTTGCCGCCGAGGTAATTGGGGAGGCGACCTTGTCGGGGCCATGTCGGCGACTTCGGGGGAGAGAGGGAGGTCCGGCCTCCCTTCGGAATGTCGGTGCGCCTTTTTGGAAAAGTTGAGTTTGAACAAGCCCGTGCGCGGAGCAAGTTATCTCCCGCGGTCCGCCGGTCCGCGTAGCTTTGCCGCGAGCGACGAGCAGTTTCTTTGAGCCTCACCGTGCGCGGTGGGCATTTTGCGCCGAGGCGCGGTTCTTTTGGTCTTTTTACTGAAGTGAGCGGACAGTAGAGTCCTGTAACCAAGTTTGCTGTTGACGTTTCAATATATTTGTTTTTATCAATCGTTGCTCTCGACTTTGAGCGTCTTTCTTCGAGGCTCCGCCACCACCAACGAGCAAGAAGCGACCATCCTTCACGGCTGTCCACGATCGCCCGGCCCTGGCCTACGACTTCTAGGAAGGACCTGGACAAAACAACCTGACCCTCAGGGAGGGACATTCTTTACTGGCGCAGTCGACAGGATCGTGGACGTCGTCGGCCACTTCGACAACATCGTGTGCCAGGAAGACGACGAGGCCAGTGCTGGCGCGGAGTGTGGCGGTGTCCAGGACTTGCCGAGACAACGAGCAGCTGTCAACAAGCAGCTTGGCGACACCGGAGGCCTTCAGCGGCGGCAGCCGGGTCTCACTGAACAGACTCTGCGTGCGGTGATCGACGCCGGGACTCGCGAGTTCGGCGGCGTCAACGACTTGCGCGGACTCTACAGCACCGCCAGGTAAGTGGTCGTTTTCCCTTCCGTCGCCGGCTGACACCCGCGCACTTAGTTGCATGGCGAGGTGTAACTGGCCCATTGGGGAGAGCCTCAGTGACGGAGACGACGAATGGTCCGATGGGGAAGCGATTCCGCTAAGCGTTCAGATAGCTCTCGTGAGGAAAAGAACGAAGGAGCTAGAGCTGGAGATACGACTCGCGGAGCTCCGGGCGGAGGAGCGGAGAGCAAGGGCTCGGCTTCTGGAGGAGCACAGTGAGGAGTCGCAGATTGATGCAGCGGAGGGCGCGGAGTCCGAGGCTCACTGCGTGAGCGAGACAGGACCGGACGCGCGAAGCGACCCGGAGGCGGCCGTTGGGTCCGAGGCCGATCGTGTCTTTCGGGAACCGGGGACTGCCGTGTGTTCCGAGGCCAGCCGCGCTGTCCAGGAACCAGACACTGCCGTGGGTTCTGTGTCCAATTGTGTCGTTCAGGAACCGGACACTGCGGTGGGGTCCAACGCCGATCGCGCTCTCCAGGAAGTGGGCTTTGAGGCCGATCCAGCCGTACCTGTACCGCAGACTACCTTGGGGTCCGAGACCGGTCATGCCGTGCTGGGTCCGGAGACTGCCGGGGGGTCTGACGCCGATCGCGCTCTCCAGGAAGCGGACACTGTCGGGTTCGAGGCCGATCGCGCCATACAGAAACCGGTGGCCGCCGTGGGGTCCGAGGCCAATCGCGCTGTCCAGGAACCGGACATTGCCGTGGGTTCCGAGGCCGATCGCGCCATACAGGGTCTGGAGACTGCCGTGGGGTCTGAGGGCGATCGGGCCGCTTGCGAACCAGGGTCTTCCTGCGTCCGGGCAGCTGGAAGGGAGGAGCTCCCGGAGAGCCAGGGGTCGGTCCCGGCACTGGGGAGGCTGGTGGATGCCGATGTCGCGAGGGGGGCCACTGCGGTTGTTCAGATTGGACTTCGGTGTCCCCACGACGGGCCTTGTGGTGAGGGTGTGACACCGTGGGTGCCACCAAGTGGGCGGCGCGGGGAGGTGCACGTGCAGGAGCACGAATCGTCGTGGGGCGGCAATGTTGGAGCGGGGACGGCAATGGCGCGCCATGGGCGCAGAGTTGGTCCTTCCTCTGACCGAACCGACTGCGAAGCGAGTACCGAACGCGGTTCCGTGGAGAGGCCGAGCCGAGCACGCCTTCGTGGGCCTAATGAAGCTCTGGCGAGCTACGCTGTCCTCGTGGCAGTCGACACAGGTGCCCGAGTAGGGGGTGATGGAATGGCGGCAAGGGAGCGCTTTGTCGCGCTCATACACGCGGTGTCAGCGGGCGTGCATGTGGGGAAGCGATCACTGCCGCGGCCCTTGCGAGGTGCCATTGAGCTCACACTTACTGTGTAGCGTTTGCCGCGCTTTTCGAGTTTTGTTGTCTTTTTTTTTTTTTTACGGCAACGGCTTGCAGCGTTCTTGGTGTCGCTGGAGTCTAGCTGAGTGTGTGATCAAGGTTCTGCCTCCACGAGCAGAAAGAAGTGTTGTTCCTCTTTTTAATTTTCATTTAGCTGGTCGCGCTAGAGGAGCGTGGCTGTGTTTTATTTTTCGCTCTCTCTATACGGGAATGCTGTCAGTTCGGGAGGCAATCACTGCCGCGGTTCTGTGCAATCGAACGTTCCTGCGTTGTTCAGTGTTCACCAAGCGTTTTCAGTCTTTCGTTTGCTGTTGGTTTGCCGGGATTTATTGATGTTTTTGTCTTTTGGTTGCGGAAGCTCTTGCGGCACCAACGGTGTCGTTGTTGCGAGCGGTCCAGGTCCTCGAGAGGCCTGCTGAGAAACGGAGTGTACTAAGAAGTGTTGTCTTTTTTTTTCTCTCAGTTTTATATAGCAATTGGTGCTAGAGGTGCCTGGCTTCGTTATTTCCAGCCATGTGTTTTGTTGTTTTTATTTTTCGCTTCAGTTTAAGCGGGTTGTTTTGTGTTCTTGTTGGGTTTTCGGCCATCCTGTTTTTGTAACTGCTGGCTAGTCCAGAAGTCCTAGCGCAGTTTTCGGGGGGACGTGTAGGGATGGCCGAAGGGGCTTAGCCGAAGGAGCTCGGGGAATTGGCGGCGCGGTCACCCGAAGCGTCCTTCGGAGGCGCCCGGTGTCTTGTCTTTCCCTTTGGCGGCAAGCGGAGGCCAGCTCCCGAAAGTGGAAGCAGATTTCCCCGCGTGGGAAGTAAACAAACCTCTGTTCGCGGGTGGTCGCCCTTGCCGCCGAGGTAATTGGGGAGGCGACCTTGTCGGGGCCATGTCGGCGACTTCGGGGGAGAGAGGGAGGTCCGGCCTCCCTTCGGAATGTCGGTGCGCCTTTTTGGAAAAGTTGAGTTTGAACAAGCCCGTGCGCGGAGCAAGTTATCTCCCGCGGTCCGCCGGTCCGCGTAGCTTTGTCGCGAGCGACGAGCAGTTTCTTTGAGCCTCACCGTGCGCGGTGGGCATTTTGCGCCGAGGCGCGGTTTTTTTGGTCTTTTTACTGAAGTGAGCGGACAGTAGAGTCCTGTAACCAAGTTTGCTGTTGACGTTTCAATATATTTGTTTTTATCAATCGTTGCTCTCGATTTTGAGCGTCTTTCTTCGAGGCTCCGCCACCACCAATGAGCAAGAAGCGACCATCCTTCACGGCTGTCCACGATCGCCCGGCCCTGGCCTACGACTTCTAGGAAGGACCGGGACAAAACAACCTGACCCTCAGGGAGGGACATTCTTTACTGGCATACACGTGTTCAAGCGACATTCGTGAGTTTTAGTACACTGTACGCTCCAGAAAGTGGGCCCAGCAGGCATACACGTGTTCAAGCCATGCTTCGAAGTGACGGCACGATCTCCCGCTAGCAAAGCGGAGCTTTAGAGTACGGTCGTTAGCTGGTGCGCAAGTGGACGAGATGTGAAGAGAAAGTAATGGGAGAGTAATTTATCATGGGGTGTTCAACAAAACTCCACCACCATAGTCGTTCCTCTGTCCGGAGCAAGAGACAGATTTCGGCCGTGGGTTCCGCGTTCATTAGAACGTGACTGACAGTTTTTTATCTTTTTTTTTTTTACTACACATTTTTTATGTATGTCTTCTCAGCTTTCTCGAAGCCTAAGCCCGCGTTCGCAAAGATGAGGCGAATTTTCGGAAACCGTAGAAAATCTAAGGCAGCAAATAGCAAACGATGCTGGCGCTCGGCGTCTGAATGCCTGACCCTAAAAGAACCGCTCCTTCTTCGCAAGGTGAAGACGACTATCTTGCTCGCTCTGCTTGGAGGGAGACAGTGGTAGACAAAGCTGCTAACCTTCGCGTCTACTCTTTATTATTCTAATCGGAGCTCGGCAGTCTGACATCACCGAACCCTCTGCCCAAACAGCCGACGAAATTGCACGCCGTATAGTTCGATATCAAAAAGGAGGATATGGCGGTTTTTTTCCCGACCAGAGACATAGACCGCTGATCTTAGAGAGTTTTAGTAGATCGTTCTGATACGTCCGTTACCCCCGATAACAATACCCGATAACCTAACGATGCACGCGGAAAGGCGGCGAATAAAATATGGTTTCGTTATCTGAGTCATGGGACCGATATATTAAAAGCCTCTAATGAATCAAGATGTCGGGGTATACGGCCGCTGTCGCTGAAAAGGTCAAGGGGTTTGCGCTATTCCGGGAATTCCAGCTGCTTTTCTGATCTTGACCAGTGTGTCGATGGCAAATAAATATATTAATTTTATTTTGTTTGAATAAAGTTGGCGCGACGAAACCCGTTTTCAAATCTTGATGTTCAGAGCTGGGAGCTTCCTCTATAATAAATACTATTCCAGTTAAATCAGATGATTTTGTGAGTTTTATTTACACTGCTGCACAAATTCAACAAATTCGTAAAAATGTAGGCCTCGGAATACAGGCTCGCCCCACGCCGGCGGCGATAGGAACCACCCTTACCAAGTGTTGACCGGTGAGAGAATCATCACCTACAAGCATCCGGCTTTATACTTCATTTCCCTTTAAGTTGACGACGCAGCCGACGCTACGAGCTGATAGAAGGCATCAGACAGCGTGAAAAGCATATCATCATCGTGATAGTCATGTTTTTGTGCGCATTTTATCATCGCTATACCAAGCATAAAAAGACAAGGTCCATTGACCTGCGCTTTTGACCCTGCCTGCTTGCTGCCATTATCCCGTATACACTCTTAGAAAAAAGGGTACGGATAGTCCTCCCTTACGGGAGGAACGGTCTTGTAACCTATGTTCCTTTAGAAAGGGAGAAACCTTCGTCCTTGAAGCAGGGGAGCAAAGTTCCACCGTCGCTTGCATCTCAATATGGCGGCCCCGAATCGAGAAAATCGAGCCCAATAAGGCTTAACGAGGACGCTACGTCTCTTGTACGGGACGAGAGCAGCAGCAAATAAAAGCGTAACACGAGCTTTCCGCAAACTGTGTTTATTTCCGAAGCCAGACTCCCCCCACAGGTACAGAAACTTGCGTTTCGAAAGCAGTTACTCAGTCTTCTCGTCGACAGCACTGCGATGTTAAACGGAGACAACCGATACCTAGTTACTTCGCGCACTTTGCGTCTTACCTTTGGTGTTCCTCGAGTCACAATTCCTTCGTCAACCGCACATCACGGAGAAGGGCAAACTCACTCCGCGAAACCAAAAGCCGCTCTCGAAAGAACGAACTCGAAGCCGCTGTTTATCGCGTAGCGTGATAGAAGGTTAAATCGCTAGCCACCAGATGGCGGGGTCAAGCAGAGTAATTGCAAGTAGCTAGGCTAGGTAGCGCTAGGTACCGCCCAATTCATGTTCTACAAAAAATAATTTGCTTCTCTCAGGCCACTACTGTGCTTGAGGACCCTCTACTATACACACATGACACCCATACACTTATTACAAGCATCAGGTGAACCTACATTAAGCACATGCACTGCACACACAAATATCAATACAACGGAACACCACACTAACCCGAACTTTTTTTTTTTTCTTTATTGAACTCAACATTGCAGCACAGAATGCTAT